CCCTAACCCCCCCCGCGGGATGCAGCTCGGCAGCGATGGGTCGGATCTGTGTTGGCACGTTGAATGAAATGATTGGTCGTTGATTCGCGTTTCAATTCAGCCTTGTCAAGTTGATAACATGGACGATAACGCCTTGAAGAGAGTGACTCGACGGATAAGCGAAGTATTGACGGTAATCTGTACCAGAATACGAATAAATTTCAGCTGAAGATGGTTGATTTGTTGAGTAGAGTTTTAGATTGCACAAGATATGAGCAAAGAGCAACAAACGACTTTCTAGCAACCACACCTGTTAGACTCCTAACAGCCCCATCAAAGACCCCTTGTTCAACCTCAACCCGTCAATGGCAAGCTATCTAGTACATACCTGTCTTTTAATGCGTGAAACCAAGCTTTTGCAGACAACAGCAGCCAATTAACTGACTGTACAGTTTTCGAGGCACTCCATAGACTACTCATTCCTCATCCAATGTGCCATTGTCCCGTGGCAGTGCATGAGGCAACCTCTCTGTTGCAGGCAGACTGGCAGAGTAGTAGAAGAGCTAGGCGGCCTGGCCTAACTGAGTGGCAGCTAGAGTTGACTTAGACTACTGACCTAATTTCTAGTCTAGTCGACCCCGGGTGACTGTTTTATCATATTTCGAGTTCAGGGTCGTCGTAGTACTGAAACCTCAACATGCGCATGATCAATAAGACACAATAATGTTGGTGATGGGATGCCTAGGGGCTGTAGGGAATTTATGACTACATATCTAGTATTCAAAAGAATCCCAGTATCATCAGCCATGATGGATACCCATGCATTGTCCTATCGCTTACCCTTACCTACCCCAACCTCTCAAGGCAGTGAACCTGGAAGGCATCCATGGCACTTACTAACGTAGACCCCGTCTTACTGTGCTGTACGAGCCATTGGCTGCCTGCAGTCAACCTCAAACAACTACCTAAGCAGGCAGCTGCCAGCTACTGTTCCTTCTCCTCAGCCTTATTTTGAACCTCTTCTTCTCAAACCATTTCCCTCCCTTCGACTTTCCTAACATAACACAAGTTTTCATAGCTTCCTCTTCTTCCGGCGTGCATTATCTCTCGACCGCCCCCCACTTCTCTCTCTCTCTCTCTCTCTCTCTCTCTCTCTCTCTCTCTCTCTCTCTCTCTCTCTCTCTCTTTTTCCGCTGTATCTCGTATCGCTTCCATTGTCGCACCCAATCTCCTCGTCCATCCCACCCATCCCCACCCCCGCTCCGGCTTCCGTATCCCCATCGCCGGGTCTCTACCTACATTACAGTGCTGGCTCACCAGCGCTTCACCCACTTTGGGCCTTATAGCTTTATCTTAGAGCAAACATATCATCTCCAATGCAATGATGGAGCTTGAATCAACAGATATCAACTTTTCCGTCTCTTGGCTCCTGGGTCTCAAGCCCAAATCCACGTATCCTGTATGGGCACGAGAATTTATGACAGATGAACCCCGTTTCCTTGTGAGCCGCCTTCTCGGCCTGCTTCCAAGTCGCAAGCCCCGCCGCCGGTTGAGAAGGAGGCGTTGTCGTTCCAAGCTTGTAATTTCTTCCACAGAGCCGACCGTGGAGGATGATCAAGTTGTTGTGGATGAGAACATGGATATCTTTGGCCTTGGAAAGTTGTATGGCGACATTCCTTACGAAACTGAAGATGAATCCGATTCAGAATCTGAGAATGCACCTGTGGTGGAAGAGGAGCCTCCCGTGTTGGCAGAGCCAGAATTCCTCAGGCTTTGCAAAAATATGGAAGAGCTCCTCGACGAAGTAGAGTAAGATGAACATGTACTCACTAATTTATCCAGGAGTATTCACTAACTTTATATAGAAGGGCTCATCTCGAAGAGAACGACGACTCTGACAACGAATCGATTGACGGCCTAGAACCCGAAGACTGCGAAGACGAATCCCCGTCGAGACTTGAATGGCTGCGACAGAAGAAGATAGAAAAAGCAGAAAACAAATACCTGGACCGAATCATGTCTTTGTCGGGCCTGGAGGAAGCCAAGGCTTTCTTCCTACAGACAAAAGCCAGAGTTAAGGCCGCCCAAAGACGTGAAACCGATTTGAGCAAGGAAAACTTTGATGTGGCTTTCATGGGCAACGAGGGCACTGGCAAGACGATGTTGTCCCGCCTCTATGCTAAATACCTTATATCTCTCGGGGTTGTTAAGAAATCTGGCGTCTTCACAGGTATCAACCGATTCTCGGCATACAACTTGTCCAAAACATCCACCTTGGCCACAATCCACAACACCTGCAATGCATGTGGCGGCTGTGTAAGTGGGACCATCGTCACAGGACGAACGTATCACTGACTTACTTAGATTGCCATCATTGACCACGCCCATCTCATGAACGGCGATGACAGCAACCTGTGGAGTCTTTATGTTAGATCCCAAGACCTACCCGGGAAAGTAGTATTGATTTTCTCTGGTAACGGCGAATGGGGTCTATCAGACCTGATGGGTTATAGCGCCGAAGTTTCGAGTCACTTTCCCGTTCTAAAGTTGCCGAATTACACTGCCCACGAGCTACAAATGGTTTTCCATGGCATGATGCGGAAATGGTTCAAGAACAGGATGGAAGTCGAAGGTGGTTATGACGGTCTCTATGTCAAGATCCTGATCCGAAGAATTATGTCAGACGCTAAAGACAAGACTTTCGGCAACATCTGGCCTGTCAAGAAAGCATTCCTCGATGCATGCCGACGACAACTCGAACGTTTCATACAAGCCAGGAAGACAGGGAATTATCTGGACGACTACACGATGACAAAAGAAGACATATTGGGCAACAGACCCTCGCTTGGTCCCGAAAAGAGCCCTGCCTGGAAGGAGCTTCAAGAACTTGTCGGCCTGGACGACGTGAAAGAATCTATTCTCTCTGTCGTGAACCAAGTAAACCAAAACTTCATCAGAGAGATGCGCGGTGATGATCCCTTACACGTTTCCCCCAACCGTGTTTTCTTGGGACCCCCTGGCACTGGCAAGACTACAGTTGCAAAGCTTTATGGTAAAGTCCTAGCAGACTTTGGACTTCTATCAAAGGGTGATGTTATCACCAAGACTCCAGCCGATCTCCTGGACCGCTATATTGGAGGGTCTGAAAACAACACCAAAGAGGCGTTGCGAGAAGCCAAGGGAAATGTCTTGATCATTGACGATGCCCATATGCTTGACCCTGGTACGAATGGTAGTAGCGGTAGCTCTAAGAACGGCGACTTCAGAGGTGCTATCATCGACACCATTGTGGCTGAGGTTACTGGTGCCGCAGGAGAGGACCGATGCGTCATCCTCTGCGGGTACCCAGAGCAGATGAAGGAGATGTATGCAAACACAAACCCTGGTTTGGCACGAAGATTTCCCCTGGATGCAGCATTTGTTTTCGAAAACTTCAGCGAGGAGACCTTGGGTAAAGTATTGGATCTCAAATTGGCAAAGGAGAAGCTGATCACCACCGAAAAGGCGCGAGAAGTTGCCATGGAGGTCTTGAAGCGAGCTTCTGTTCGACCAAACTTTGGCAATGGAGGCGAGGTGGACAACCTGCTGTCCAAAGCCATTTTGGCCCGATCTCGTCGCATTGCTAAAGAGAGAAAGTCTGATGATGAAGATCTTGATGCTGTTCCTCTGGAACCTCAGGACTTTGATGCCGACTATGACCGCTTGTCGCACGCTGTGAAAAACACTCGTGCACTGTTTGACGAATTTGTCGGGTTCGAAGAGATCATTTCCAAGTTTGAATCGTATCAGTACATGGTACAAGGTATGCGAATGCGCAATGTTGACCCACGGCCGTACGTGCCGTTTACCTATGTCTTCAAAGGACCTCCAGGAACTGGAAAGACATCAACCGCACGAAAACTCGGTGAAATCTTTTATAACATGGGCTTGCTTGCCGCACCTGATGTTATAGATGCTTCGGCATCGCAGCTTATCGGCGAGTATTGCGGTCAAACTGGTCCCAAGACTCGCCGTCTACTTGAATCCGCTCTTGGCAAAGTGCTTTTTATCGACGAGGCCTACAGGCTCAATGGTAGTCGCGGATCATTCGCTGAAGAGGCGGTCAGCGAGCTGGTGGATGCAGTGACAAAGCCACAGTTTGCTCGCAAGCTTATCATCGTTCTGGCAGGGTATGAAGAGGACATGGACCGACTTCTACGCAGCAACCAAGGAATCAAAAGCCGATTTGCCACCGAATTCACTTTCCGTCCTATGCGGACCGAGCAGTGCATCGAGCAACTCAGACAGGTTGTTGGAAAAGTGGGCATTACTATCCAGTCAACGCCCGAGATGGAGACAAGTATTCGGACGTCTCTATTCTCCCTTCTGCAACGTCTGAGTAATGATAAGGGATGGGCTAGTGGCCGCAGTATTGAAACCCTCGGCGAACGACTGATTGGTCAAATCTTCAAAGAGTGTGCTATGAATAACTATACCGGAAAAGACTTGTTCGTAACAGGTCGCCAGTTGGTGACTATACTTGGGAAAGCATCTGGTGTCCCGTATGCCAGCATTAGGATGCCTGGAGTCCAGACTCCTATGGGTGCTAAGGTGATGACGCTTAAGGACCTCGAGACCTCGGAGTAAAGGGGACCGGATTACTGGCAGGAGAGCTACGTGAAGTGACGTATTTTGCTCTAAGCATCTACGTTGTGTTTAACTGTTATTTTGGGATAAGAGGATGCATCATGGGTATCAAAATCATCAGCGTGAGGCTGTTTTGGAGTTATAGGGCTTTATCTTTCCCTTGCGATAGCCTTCAAGTAACTAGCGATTTGGTTATGATGACGTTAATGACATTCTATTTTGCAAAAAATAGTTCCTGGGTATCGTGTGAACCGAACCATGCTAATTTACTCTGCCTGTACAAAGGACTCCTCCGGTTTTCCCATCACCGGGAAAATTGGTAATAGTAATATAGTGTTAGCTACATAGTCAAAGCCACCGTCTTTGATCCCTGTCTGGCATTGATTGTTCAAAAACTACTCGTTTGTCATGGTATGCCGCAGCCGACTCGGTCTGGTATGGCTAGAGGCCACGGATGTCCCTCTGCTAGGCGAGTCATCTTTCTCAGACTTTGGTGACTTTGACACGCGTACCTCAATGGCGACAGAACTGCGTTTCGATATTGGTGAAGGAGTAGGGCTATATGCTGATATGGCTTGGCTTATGCGAGGTTGACTTCGTGATTTGCGCGAATGGAGGCGTTTGTTGTCGGGAGATGTCGACTTAGAAACAAGCTCATCAACGTTTACGGATGGCGAGGCTTCAACGCCCATACGGACTGGCACCTTGGAAGAGCTCTTGATGGCAGGGGTAACATCAATATCGCTTTTAGTATGATGCTCATCCGCAAGGCTTTGAGCCCAAGCCTCGCGAAACATAGTGCCTAGGCTGACAGCCACCTCTCGCGCAACACTGTTTCCAACAATCCTCCATTGATCCGGCGGATTACCCAGTAAGACCTCATGATCGCGGAAACCTTGTGCTCGGCGCGCCTCCATAATGGTCAGAACACGGTTCTCAGACCAGTGTAGCGCTCGACCATTCTTAGCGTCATCCGGGCTTTGACTTGTCACGATCGTCTCGATAAGACGGTCGGGACGCTGTCGGCCATATGCTTTGGAAGCAGGGGCCACCCGATGCAGTGACTTTTGACCTTCCTCCGGGAAGTTGAGACGTTCGGAAGGCGTGAGAACGCCTGAGCCAGCCTTCTTGCAGTCCAGGCCGAACCATGCCTGAGCAAAATTCATGCCCCAGGGTCGAGTGGGGATGAGACTGATCCTAGAACGAACATTGCTTGTCATACCAATGGACACGCGATGATCGGGATATGGGACGCATATATCCGGTTTGGAGTCATAAACTGGGGGAAGGCTGGCGGTTGCAGCACGAGCAGAGACAAAATCGAAGGGTGTAGCAACGGGTATGATTCGCTCCGCCATGGAGTCACCAGTTGGGGTACTCCCAATCCCATATTTCTGGGTATGCTGTGGATAGGCGTGCGTGATATGCGGTCGCTGAGGAAGATGGTGACCTGGTGCGGCAAAAACAACAAAAACCCGGGAGCGGCGCTGAGCGGAACCGCAGGACGAAGCATCAAGGAAGAAGAACTGTGTTTGATACCCAAGTCCCACAATTGCGCAGATAAGTTGGCTGAACACGTCCTGATCGCGATTGAGTTTGCTGTGGATGATGCTGGGGACATTCTCCAGGAGACCATAACGGGGCCGATAAAGGTCGATAAACGAGCCGAAAGCCGCAACGAGGGATTGGTTCTTTCGTTGTGCGATTGTGGTTTTGTCGTTTGTCAAGAGAGAAAAACCTGGACAAGGACTGCCGCCAGAGATGAAATCAACGTCTCCAATCGGAGGAACGTTCTCTGTGAACTTGCCTTGAATGGCGAAACGTTGCATATCGTCGATCGAGCCTAGGAATGGGTGTACCGCACCAGGACCCGAAGTGTTAGCCATGTAGGTGTGCAAGGCTTTTCTGTCATAGTCGTTTGCCCACCGCATCTCGATACCACCTCCGTCTTCGAGGCCACGACCAAAGTTTCCGCCTCCGCAGAAAAGATCGAGTCCGCGCAACTTTTGCAGCGGCTCGGACGGATCAAATCCTTGACGAAGTGAGGAAGGCAATGCCTCGAGAGGCAAGTATGACTTTGCAGCAGTCTCTTCGTCAATGACTTCTTCATGCGTAATGTAGAAAAAGTTGCCCACACCATCCCGATCATAGGGCGTTGGTATCTTTTCTTGACCTTGAAAGAAACGGACGTAACAGGACTCAAGAATGCGTCGACTCTTTACCTCGATGAGGTTCTCACTATACACCAGCTCATTCGGTCGAGCATTTGATACCTGGGGGTCAACTTGATGTCTCCGCAGGAGCCGTCGGAATCTGTAGATACCAATACCATCCTCTTCATAAAAGGTTATGAACTCGCAAGGCTCGGACCGGCCGCTCGCCTTATCGAGCATGACGAGCCGAGTCTCGCCGGGCTGATAAAGCGACACCTGGGGAGTTTTGCGCTGATGTGGGCAATTTAGATGGTCCTTTTCAAAGGTAATCCATTTCCGCTCAGTAACAGCATAGGTCTGGCGACAAAAAAACTCCGCTTTGGTGGTTGATGTTCCTCCAAACTCAACCTCGTGAACACCCATGATTTCATCTTCAGAAATCTTGGAACGCTCATCGCAAGAGCAATGGTCAGAGAGGAATAGCTCGTTATTCCACGGGTACTTCATTAAAGCACAGAGGGTATCGACAGGCCGATAGTACCAAATCACATCGAAAGTCCGGATGCCCTTCTTGTTAACGCGCACGCGCTGTACAAGAGCGAGCCAACGATCAACGTCATTGGACCCATGCGAAAGATCACGTCGCCATTTTGTGCCAGAGTGCTCGCCATCCCTCTGCGTCGAAATAGTCTCTCCGGGTTGGATGTCTCGAATTTGCTGTTGGCTAGCTGTTGAAATGCTTTTAGCATTCTGGTGAAGAGGCGCCGGAAGCTCCAGGTGTCGCTTCTGTATCAGTTCATTCCGCAGCAACTCCGTCTCATCGCTTAGTGACATTGCTTCGAGGCGATCACCGAAAGGTAGATGGTTGAAACAATCATGGATATACTGAGTGACGATTGTTGGGGGAACGCCTTTGTCGTTTTTTCCTTGGTCGCAATCTACTTGATCTGCGGGTGACGCCGTCCGACTCGTAGACCTGGATGACTTCAAGCGCGCCTCCTTACCGCTCTCTTTGCTCTTTGGAAAGCGCTCATACCGTCGGAACTCCCATATCTCAGCCCACAAGGTGTGGTAGTAGGTTCCAGAGTCGCCCAGGACGCCGATAACTTCCTTGTGTAAAAAGGCCAAGTTCGCGACAACAGAGGTTCGAAAGTCGGCACTTGGATGCTGCTCTCTCCATGATACAAAGACGGGATCTGTATTGTGCGTCTTGGCCAACCAATTACTAAAACTTGAACGGAAATGGAAGATTGTGACACCATTTTCGCTTTCTCCCATCACCTTAAGATAGTCAACAAAGTGTTTGGCGAGATCGGCAACCCATAGAAATGGGTCGAAGAAACGATGGTACTCTTTGGCGGGACGGTTTAGTCTGTAGTAGATGTCTTTCTTGAGGTTCGTAGCTGACTGAACCCAGATTTGATCGCGTACAGTGTGCTTGGATAGAGCACCGTAATCGCCAATGGGCAAAGCTCGTATGGGTACGTGCCGGACAAAGAAAGCCACGTCTCCTACACTCAGCTTCCCGTCGAAGAACATTTTGCTGTAACCTGTCTTTGTCTCCAGATGATGAAGTGAGCACATCTCATGTTCATACTGTTTGCGCTCGCAGTAAACGGCAAAGTCATTGAGCTCAAACTCAACGAAGTTATCGGCATCTTGATCTTCCTGTTTTGTTACCTCCAGGAGCTGACTGACGACCTTGTGTTCCTCGTCGATTGGCACACCAGGCTCATAAGGTTCGTAAAAAGACCGCGGGATTAGCAATGAAGCCTCCGGAATCTCAACTCTGACAGAGTTGCACAAAGGAAGGTCCGGTGTATCGACCTTGACCGCGGTGCCATCCTCTTGTTCCAACGACTCAGCTGTGGCACCGGCTTGGTCGACTGCGAGCCCAAAATCTTCTTCGATTGGCATCTCTGGCTCAATAGCATCGAGAATTTCGACATCTATGCCCTCGAAAAGGTCCCCGGGACCCGAGTCATAGATGGACGGACTCGGAGCAGGCGACATTGAGGATAAATCGACCTGTTCCATCACGCTCATGCGGTCTTCCTCCTCATCCTCCGTCTCACCAAACTTGGTCCACATCTTAGGCGTCCCATGGTCGATGCTGGTGTGCGGTTCTTGTGGAGCAAAGGCGTCTTCAAACACATCATCAAAGCCATCATTCTGATTTGAGGATGTCATCCAGTCGATGTTGGGATTAGCCAACACCTCTGGTGGGACGTCAATCCCATCATCTTTGTCCAGATCGATATGCTGAAAGAGATTAACGACCATAATTCATTGCTACCGGGCTTCACAACTTACCGGCATATCGGACGCCTTGTCCTCTTTTATTGAGTAGACACCATGTATGTGAAAAGCTTGCTTTGAAGGAAAACAAAATTTCAGCAAACCTGATCTAGCTGAACCTGCTCTGTGATAAATAGGCGATTCTAATGAGCCCTGCAGTAACGACCGTTCTTCCTGAGAAAAAAAAAAAAACAAGACTTGACTTTGTATAGTCTATAGAACATGGGAATGGTGTATAATGAGAAGAGTCGCAAGTGGTGATTACCAAGAATTGCGACGTGCTCAGCAAATAGCGAGCCAGATGCGCGCTGACCCAAACAATGTAAATTCCGAATTGACGAGAATAAAGAAAGGCAAGGGCGTCTTAGGGTTTAACTCTTACAAGAAAAAGAAAGAAAGAAATATACAGTGACTCGCGTTTCTTTGTTTGCTATTTTAGTGGACAAGTTATAGAGGTAAGGAAGTATTAAGCATTGATTGATTGAATGGCCACCAATCTTGGACTCCCATAGTGACGCATGCATTGGCTGTGGTACCTGCCAGCGGGGACAGCGCTAAGCCTTAAATGACTAAAACACCTGCCGGAAGCTGAGGCTTCTCCCTTTTGTACATGGAGGAAACTCCTTCTAGAAGCTTGGATATAGGTAGCAATCACTTATGAGGACAATCATATATATATGTGTGTACAACAAACAAATACATAAAAAAAACCAAAAGCATACTACATTCTTCTCCAACGCTCATTTATACTAAGTATATAACATAACCACCCATGCATTGCCTCTTCTCATCTGTTGGTATACCCTTTGAATCAGAACGCCATATAATGCATCTCATGATAACTCATGTACCAAATCAAGACTGATCTCGTTACTTTCTTCGGCGGAATCTGCTATTAAAGCCTGGTCCACCCTTGGATCCGTGATTCCTAAGCTTCAGTCTTTGGAAGTTTGCATGTGCTAACTCATTCACCTTTCGTGCTGCTTTCTTGACAGTGCCCTCCTTCTTCTGTGCTGGCTTCTTCTCAGATATCTCATCGAAATCAGATCCAGCATCCTCACCGCCAGCTCGCATTTCATCATTCTCCGCATCGCTTTGAGGGTTTCCTGCCATATCCTCAGGTCTATTGACCCGGACTGGACGCATCTTGGCCATCCTTGTTGTTCGCTTCTGACCCTTCTTTTTGTACACCCTCGTCGGATTGTCTCCCTCCACTGGGCTGTCGTAAGCACCCTCGTCATCAAAACCACCAAGGGGCAGTTGCTGTGCTTCGTTATCGTAGACCGGTATGTCGGCGTCCTTAGGTTTGGACGGGAAAAGTGTCTTTGGTTTCGGTTCACCCGTTCTACCATCCTCAACATCGCGCAATGCATCAAGGTCGTCATCTAGGTTCTCCTCCTCAACCTTCCGTAGACTTGCCACAATTTCGCTGAGACCTCTTGCAAATGGTTTGCGTGGTAGCCGTAAAGGAGCCGGGGCGTCAAAATCGCCGTCCTCGTCCAGAACTGGTAGAGTATTGCGCTTCAAGAATGCTGGCGTGTCAAATTGAAGCTTCGAAACCGAAGAAGGTGTCACAGCATCCTGGTTTCCATTCTTGTTCTTTAATGGAGTCATGAAGTGATTCAATCGCTGTCGTTTGCTGGATGACATAGGGGTCCGGCCAAGCCGTTCTTCTTCTTCGTCATCCGTTGCTGCTGACCTCTTACTTGGAGTAGCATCAATCTTGCGAGCGGACCCCGTCTTTATCGCAGAATCCTTCCTTGATGGCGTTCCTAATTCTTTCTCTACCAACAAATCGAAAAGTCCAAGTACCTGACCATCCCGTTGTGGTGTAGGGCCAACTGAGGTTACAGACGTGGGACTGAACAGTTTTCGTGATATAGCTGGGGTATTCATGAGCTCCTCATCATGGTGTTGGGTACGATTCTTGGCTGGAGTTTCGATATGCTTGTTCTGTTTTGTAGGCGTTTGTGCTGGCAGACCATCTGATTTTCGCCTTGCGGATTTGGGGGATTCCTTCGGAGGGATTGGTATTTTGCCTGAGAGAATATCTCTGACCTTGTTGTATTGCTTATATTTTGCAGCTGCCGATTGTTAGAAATATGGTTGCTCTACGGGGTCAGGGAACTTGCCGATATCTTTGTTTGCTTTAATATCTCCTCTCCCTGGTTTCTGGCCGTCGTGCGATCTTGCCCATTCTGTTTCCCAAGTTTTTAGGTTGATGCGCAATTGCTGCGATTGATTTTCATATTGGGCTCTCGTCACTTCATCCATGGCTATGAATTTATTTGAGAGCTTGTGCGAACTTGACTGAAAATGTATGGATAGCAAGGAGTTTGTGTGATCATAAAGGATGCGGACAGTGGAATTGAGTGTCGCGATTAATTTAGCACATAAAACGCGTAAAGACTACAGTGATTACAATGCAGGACGCGAACCACTCAACGCGAGCCCCACATCCTCATGATAGATACGAACAGGGGGTAGGACGGAATTAAGCTTCAGGCTGCGGCACTACTAAGTACCCTTGTAACGCCCACCTCTGGTAATTTCTAGTTCATCCATCATGTATTATTCATCCCATCACTCCCGCAACACCTTTCCTCTCTTGCGTTAGACCACTTACTATCCCATTAAAACCTCAGTGATACTTTGGGCGCCGTATATTCTCGACTCCCATGCAGATTATGGAAGTAGCACAGCCTGCAGACGATCTACAACGCCAAGTCCTTCAAAGCACCCTCGACGAAATCGCGGCCCGGCAAGAAGAAGACGTCACCGACTGCTGCGTCATCTGTCTCGAGAGCATCACCGAAGTATGCGAAGCCATCCCTTGCCATCACCGAAACTTTGACTATATTTGCCTGCTCAGCTGGCTTGAACAGTCACCGAAATGCCCCCTCTGCAAAGCAGTTGTCTCTCAAGTTCGCCACGCTCTGGGTGAACCTGTCGCAAAGACATATATCGTTCCCAAACCTGCTCCGGAACCTGAGAAGCAACAATCCGATCATAGACCATATGCGCCGTCTACTCTTCGTCTTCAACTTCCTCCGCGGCGACGTCCTTATGCCCGTCGATCCCGATACGAAACACCCACCCTGAGTGCATCAGATGAGATCGCACGACGGAGAGATATATATCGCCACAACCGATATTCGAAGCACGTCGGGACAAATAGACTGTCCAGATATCGTGAATTGACTCCAGCTGTTTTCTGCGCAGATAGTGAATTAGTATCGCGCGCGCGTATGTGGATTCGACGGGAGCTTCAAGTATTTCCCTTCTTAAGTCCTGATGCCGACGAGACTGAGCCAAGGCCTAGCCCGAATGCCCCCAGGAATGCCGTGGAACAGCGACGAGCAAACAATGCCGAGTTTCTTCTTGAGTACATCATTGCGGTGTTGAAGTCTGTGGACATAATGGGTAGCGTCGGCCAGGCCGAGGAAATGATTTCGGATTATTTGGGAAGATCCAATACGCGGCTCTTTTTGCACGAGTTGAGAGCTTGGCTCAGAAGTCCATATACGAAGTTAGCGGATTGGGACAGAGCCGTCCAATACGAGACATCTGTCCCGGACACTCTTGGTGTTGACTCCGAACAAACAGGCAACTCAAGGCGAGACCTACACGAATCTAAATCTAGACATTTGAGCAGTCGGAACGCCCCAAGAGGGCATGGTGACTATTATCGCCCTGGAGGTCGCTCACAGCGGCCGAGAGAAGTACACAGACACGAGCCATATGCTAGACGGCATAGTAGAGGTCCATAGAGTACAGCATATAGATGGGCTTTGGATATGGATATGATGATACCCGGGGAATAATCTCCATCTGCATGAATAATGAGCAAGAAATCACAAATCAGAAATTTCCTTTCATTGCTGCCTTCTCTCCCTGGACTATGAGTTTGGAGCATGCTGCTTAGCGGGCGGAGTTCCGCCTTCTCATTGAAGCCGTATAATTCTGCCTTGGACTTTGCAGATTATTTAAGATGTCAAAGATACTGCAATTGGGACTCAAAGCAGCTGATCTTGCATTCATAAATTTCATCACATTCAAGGCTTTTCGTTTCTGTATCCTTCATTCATCAAATTACTTACCAAAGGTTCGCCACCCTTCCAGCAACATCATCATGCCTACAATCTCTATAAACGTCATCTCAGACCCTGTCTGTCCCTGGTGCTTCATCGGTGCCCTACGTCTCTCTCGTGCCATAACTCTTTATCTTAAAACCGTCTGTTCTAGCGACACGATTTTCACGAAGTGGCACGCCTACCAACTCGACGCTGACACACCCACTCAACCTCTTGTGTCCAAAATAGCCTCTAAATGGGGCATTGATCAAGTTCCCACCGTAAAGGCCCGCCTCAACGGCATTGCAAAGAGAGAGGGGCTCGAATTCAACTTTGGCTCGACAATTGGGAACACAAGAGATGCGCATCGGTTGGAGAAGTTGGGGAGGAAGGTCGGATTGGAGATGGAGGTTGCGATGGAGATTATGAGAATGTATTTTCTGCGAGGAGGGGACATAACAAGCAAGGATGATTTGGCTGGCGCGGTCGAGAGGGCTGGTGTTAATAAGGATGAAGCGAGGGGATGGTTGGAAAGTGATGACGGAGGTGACGAAGTTGATGCCGAGGTTGCTGAGATGCAGAGACTTGGTATCAGAGGTGTTCCGCGATACATCATCAATGATAAGTTCACAATAGATGGGGCAGAGGATGTGGGGGATATTTTGGCAAAGCTGGTTTTGGCGCGAGAAGAAGCTCTTGCGCAGGAGTCGGCAGACATGTAATTGTGACTCATACATCACCAGGCTCAGATGAATCATAGACACTGTGGAATAAACCATCTTCATATCTCATAAGGGTATCATATCACTGCTCCTCGCCTCACATTCTCATCAATCCCCCCAGATCCTTCTCCATCTGTCTCAATCTCACTTGCAACTCCCTCTTCTTGACCTCCATCTCCTTCGCCTCTTCTTCCTCCCGTCTCAAATCGTCTTCGGTCCACACATC